GTATCCCCGTCAGAGGTGCCCCTCGTTCAAGCACATGTACAGAGATTGGGCTCGAGGCTCGATACTTTTTTGTGAGCTCGGCTCATATGGGTCATCCAACGGTTATTTGACCACATGTGGGTCATCCAACAGTCATCTAGCCGTTAAAAAAAATGAAGCTTGTAATAGCAGTCTTTAAAATTAAAAGGTATACAAGTAACATATAATTGTTAGTGGTGCATGTAACTAACACTACAATAAATGTGCAGCTTTCATGTGGCTATATAAAATGGGGTCTTTTTCCCATATGTCTTTTACAGAATTTTACATATCTCTCGATACACCTTTTTCTGTGGTTTTCCAAGGAACATAGCATAGCTCTTCTCTCTCTCTCTCTTTTTACTCGTTTTTCTCTCTTTCTCTCTTTAAAACATAATAAGACTCTGATATCTAGTGTGTCGGTTCCAAACTCGAGTGTATAGAGGTTTGGAACATCGAAACATATATCTTTGTTTTCCTAAATCCCAAAGACGAGTTGTCATTCTAATGCACATCTATTACAATATTAAAAGGGGGTCAAATATTGTCTAAAAATAACACTCTTGGAAACAAGAAAGATTGAAACATCAAATTTGTAAAATTGTACTATTTTTTGCCCCAATTTCACCCGAACTAATTTCCAAAACAGATTTGTTTGGAACTTCAAAGTCAATGGAGGTGGAGAGCATAATTAGTGCTACACTACCCATACAATTGGATTGTGGAAATGTCAAGTGACAGCCCAAGAGTAGGCAAGGCATCAATTTTCCTGATTATTTCAAAAGATTTGATATAAGAATATGCCTTGGGTTGAAAATGAGCTATTGTAAAAACCGTACCAACCCTTAAGTCAAGGAGGGCCTTTATCGCCATGTTTTGTCCTTTATTCACCGCCTATGTTGACAATGGGGGCGTTCACTTCCATGCCTTTCCAATATTCCTTGTTGGAAACCACTACTATATTCGTATATTATACTCCTGCAGGATCATATTGTTCATTTGCTCCTTTTGGGTGAAATGCTAATTGACAATATTTTTTGGATCTTGAAATTTTGGTATCCACTTAGCAATCATGAGATAGTTATTTTCTAGGGAAAATTTAAAAAATTTTAGACCCTTTAATACTGAGATCTGGTAGGGAAAAATTGGATAGTTTGCTTTCAATGTTTGGATTTTTCTTTTTTTTTTGGTGTGGTTTCTCCAAGGTTGCGCACCTTCAATTATGTAAAACTTTATTTTTATATCTAATTATAAAATTTGAAATTTTAAAAGTGGTTAAAATCAAGTAGATATATAAATATATGACAATCTTGAAAATGGACGGTCTAGATAATATGTAGCAAGATGCACACTATTTTTGGGACTCAAATTTTTTTTTTTTTTTCATATTCATACATCTCGATGTTGAGATGATCAATTGAACGGTTTTTCAATATTAAAACAACTTTTTCCGATGGATTTTTGAGGTGCATCTTTATTTCTATATTTTAAGGTTGCAATCTTATATCAACTTTTTCATTTCTTTTTTTTGAGGCTGTGATATAGAGTGCTTTTAGAATTTTTTTTTTTTTGGTAGGGTTTATGTAAGGTTGGAACCTTAAACAATCCAATTAAGGTGCACCTCCAACTTTTATCATAACATGTAATTTTGGTGTAAAAAATTCTTAGGGTTTTTCGAAAATATATTTTCATACCTAATAATAAATTTTAAACTCCAAAAATGGTTAAAATCAAGTAGATCTATAAACATATGAAAATATAAAAAATGGATGGTCTAGATAATGTTTTACAAGGTACACAATTTCAAGGACTTAAAATATATATATATTTTTAATATTTATATATCTTGATGTCGAGATGATCAATTAGAGGGTTTTCCAATATTAAAATAACATTTCCCAATAGATTTTTGAGGTGCATCTTTAAATTCAGCATTTTAAAGTTGCAACCTTATAAAAACTTTTTCCTTCTTTTTTTTTTTTTCCCCTCCAACTCGGGTTCTAGAATGAAGGAAATATATCAGCCAACTTTTGCCTATACTGAAATTCACTCGATGGAGTATGCGGGTATTAAACTTGCTCGGGAGCACGAAATCTTTTGACATATTGGACCAATCGATTATCATTGACTCTCTGACCAAGCTCTTTGGCCGTGAAATGAATGATAATGTTTTTCTTAATACTTCGAACATTTTACAGCTGACACAATAAGTCCATGTGGCACATTGCTTCTCTTACATTATTTTCCTTTGCCTTTATGCCTCAATCATTTGTGACTATTAACCTCCCAACAAATGATGGAATTTGACTGCAAGACAACATTATTGGAATGACTGATTAAAGAAGCTGAGCCCCAAGATCTTCCTTGACTATAGGAAGCAATGGGTCCCCACCCCTTTGAAAATTGGGTAACTTTAGTACAACAAATTATTTACATCTGTTTGCTTGACTCTAAATGTAAAAGGATGATGTGAGGTTTACGAGTTTGGATTCAGTGAGCATATTGCCTAAGGGACAAACCGTATATTTTATATTAGGAAAAGTTATATAATGGTCTATTTATCTTTGATGCAAGGTGGTTTAAAAATTAATCTTCACTGTTGGACGTGAAATTAGATGGCTGCATTTATTCCATTAGCCAAGTTCAAACTTCAAAAGAATTTTCTTCAAAATTTGTGATACACATGAGCCATCGGATTTTACATTGGATGGTTGTAAGTAATTGTAACTTCCTTACATCAAAGGTAAATGGTCTCATTGCCTTTATATTTCATTCCATATTTTGTGGTAAAAAAACTTAGGGTAGGGTTTAGGTGGGTCCGAGGATGTACGTAGTGGAGTGAGTCCTCATACACAATAATTGCATCTAGAAGAAAATTCCTCTTTGATATGGATTTTGGAATAAAAAGTTTGCACATATGTCACCTTCACCACCAACCATCAGGACCATTATTAATTTGAAAAGAGATACAAAAGTTTATATCATCATTATTAAGATGATCCTTTTTTCAACTATTTGGTGTTAATTACATAAATCCGGGTTTGTCACTCTACTCTATCACGGGTCATACCCCTCAGTGAGGCCATAAATCTACATATTTTTTTCTCACTACATCCAATCATTTCTTTTTGGGCCTTTTGGAATGCCCTTTAGTGAGGTCATAAATCCCCATATTTTTTTTTCACTACATCCAATCATGTCTTTTTGGGCCTTTTGGAATGCCCTTTCTTAGCCTTCTATTTGAAACAACAAGCACTTCCTAACATGTGTTATAGTCGATCTACACTGCACATGTCTAGCCCACCTAAGTCTATTTTCTATCATCTTATCGCCTATTGGAGTCACACTTAAATTCTCCTAAATATATTCATTTCAAATTCTATCTTTTCTTATCTTACCACTCATATATCTTGACATCATCATCTCAGTTACACTCATCCTATGGGGAAGTTATTTCTTGACCTCCCAATATTTTCCCTCATAAAGTAAAGTCTGTCTCATAGTTGTCCTATAAAACTTCCAGTTTAACTTCATTGGTCAGTGGTGATCACATAAAACTCCAGTTGCACATCCTTACTTCGCTTACCAACTTTAATTCTATGTGTAATATTTTCCTCAATCTCTTCCTTTTTCTATATTATAGAACCAAGATATCAAAAGTGCACTCGTTTTGGTATCTATTGGCAGTCAGTTAACTACTTTCTTGTTTCTACTCCTATTATTACTAATCTTGCATTTCATATACTCTATCTTAGTTAGGCTAATTTTAAAATATTTAAATTTTAGAGCATCCCTCCAAAGTTTTAACTTTGTGTTGGCGTCCTTTATGTCTTATCGATCAAAATTATGTCATCTGCGAAACATATACCAATGGTATCTAATCTTGTAGGTCCCTAGTTAAGTTGTCTATAACTAAGACAAAGATATATGGGATCAATACTAACCCTTGATGTAGACCCTATGGTCACTAAAAACCCACTTGTCCCTCCACTAGTTGTTTGCATATTTGTTACCGCTCCCTCACACTGATCTCTCACCAAATCGATGTAGTATCTAGAGACTCCTTTCTTTTCCAATATCCACCAAATTAAATTTTGAGGTACTCTATCACGAGCTTTATATAGATCAATAAAGACCATGTGGAAGTCTCTTTCCTTCGCCTTAAACTTCTCATTTAGTTGTTTAAGTAGAAAAATAGCCTCAATTATTGATCTCCTTGGCATAGAACTAAATTAGTTTTTTGATACGCTCGTTTCATGCCTTAGTTATTCGTCAATCACTCTCTCCCACAACTTCATAATGTGGCTCATAGGTCTAATCCCTTGATAGTTCGCACAATTTTGTATGTCGTCTTTGTCCTTGTAAATAGGTACTACAATATTTTTCTTTCTTTCATGTGGTTATTTCTTTGTTCTCTACACCTTGTTAAATAGTTTGGTCAGCCAGTTAATTCCGATCTCCTCCATGCACTTCCAAACCTCTATCGAGATATCTTCTTATCTTAAAGCCTTTTATATCTTCATCATCTTCAAAGCTTCTTTCACTTGCGATACCTAATCCAACGAATGTATCCATGACCTCTGCCGTCATTTATGCCTATGGTTCTTTCTCCTATTGTGTTCTTATTGTATTCATCATTTTATACTTTTTTTAAAATAAACACCCCGCCTTTTGTTAACGTCTTCATTCTTCATCAAGATTTTTGCATTTCTATCAATATGGTCCTTTAAATTCTTCAAAGATCGTAAGATGTATAGCTCTAAAGATGTGCACTATTTTTAGAGCTACAATGATTTGAGACGTGTATCACAGCATGAGTTGGCAACTCATCGGATACTTATCCATAAATTACTGTTGAAATGTCATGCAGTAATGTAAGTGGGCCTTGTACTCCATTCATATCTTTTTGTCATTTACTGAAATGTGAGGGTACTTTTACAGTTAACTTTTATAGATATATTACACTCCTGGTTCCTATGTCTGAATGTGTGGGAAAGATAAAATTTTGTGAGGTTGAAGAGAGAAGAGGGAGAGGGAGAGGGAGAGGAAGGGCAAGTGAGACAATGAATACTTTCTTTATTTCTGCATGTTCTCCTCCAATCCCAAATCCTCCTCTCTCCAAGGTAATGAATATTGTTCTTGCTCCACTATGGTACTAAAGTCGGTAACTCTATTGTCAAAAAAAAAAAAAAAAGCTCTTTCTTTCTCTCTCATGTAGTTGTTGTATTTCATTGCATAGGAAAGAAAAGTCACTACATTGGTGCCTCCTCAAGCCAATAGGTCCACATTCCTAACCAGCTTGGCAGCTCCCCTGCTCGCTGCTTTTCTCGCTTTATCTCCCCTCCACTGCACACCAGGTATTTGTGAAAATCTTCACTATTTCTCTTTTACTTTTGGGATATTCTCATATCCCCTTATTTGGTCTTTGATAATTGAGAAATCTTTGAAAGTATCTTGCATTATTGGCGTGAGTTTGCCAGTATTGAGTGAAGTCATGGCCATTTTTCACATGTTCGAATCTTAGACTTTACTTCAGTCAAAGTTCACCAATCAAACAACATACAAGATAAGCCTATTGAAGTACTGTATTATAGGGCTTGAGTGGGACATTTGATGAGTCACATGGTCGGCTAGTATTAAATTATTGTACTGATGGAATTGTCTGGAGATACCAATAGCTTACTTTGAATAAAAATTGTCAAGACATAAATGATAAATTTATGTTTATTTGTACCATTGAGAGAGAGTGTGTGTTTTTTGGTCCACATGTTTTGCCTAGAACCAAATTAAGCTGTGGGAAGAAAGAGTTGCATTGTTTCATAATTTTCTTGAGAGAGAGTGAGTTTTGGTCCATATTGCTTGCTAGAACCAAATTAAGTTTCAGGGGAACAAAGAATTACATTGTTCACTAATTTTTTCCCTGTGTATCAAGGCTTATGCTTCAACACTCGTAAAATATGAACAAGATCATACAGACTTACAAAGAGCTAACTCGATTCTTAAAACTTACTAATCAAAGAGAAAAAGAATGAAGAAACATCCAATCCTCAATAATGGAACCTATAAGAAAACCTTTACCCGGAAATCATGTGAATTCAAGTTTAATTATCAGGAAAGAACAAATATTTGAGAAATATTCAGATAATCAAAATAACCTTGAGAAACATATTAACCTAATTCAACCCCATTATGTATGATTTAGTTAAAAATACAAGAATATCAGAGAACCCATGAGTTCATAAGCACTAGTAATCTCTTTCAGTGTATTTTGCTTCACACAAGAGCATGCCAAAATTTAAGGCTCTATTTCCTCTCTCCTCCCCCATGTCTAGTGTCATGGGTACAGGTTGGCGAGGTTCACAAGGGGGCGGCTTTGTTTCAGAAAGCTTGCATTGGATGCCACGATGGAGGTGGAAACTTTTTGCAGCCCGTATCGTCATACACACCCCAATGCAATTTTATTTTATTTCTTGAATTATCCATGCTTCTTTATTGCTGTTCATCCCTTATGTGGCTTTTTCAGGGTGCAACACTCTTCACAAAGGATCTTCAAAGGTAGAATAATATACCTCACTTCCTGCAAGAGAGAGAGAGAGAGAGCAGTGGGAAAATCAAATCAATTTTCTTAAAAAGTAACTAACTGTAGAAAATATGCCGTGATGATTCAATGCCCGTGTTGTGTAGGAATGGCGTTGCAACTGAGGACGACATATACAACCTGACATATTATGGGAAAGGAAGAATGCCAGCAAGTTCCACTCCCCCACCTCCAATTTCACATGATCGCATTTGTCAGCATGACTGCTAGAACGTTTAAATTTCATGATTAGTGGGTTTTCTTGGTTCTTTTTTTATTTCTTTCCTTCTCTGAATGTGCAGGGGTTTGGAGAGAAGTGTGCTCCAAGGGGTCAATGCACATTTGGTGATAGGCTCCATGATGACGAGATCAAGCTGCTGGCTGAGTTCGTCAAGTCACAGGCTGACCGAGATTGGACAAACATTGATCCAACGGATTGATCCCTGCAAAACCAATTTACCGCTCTAAATCGAGTTGTTCAAAGAAAAGAACAATGCACATACATAACCATATGCATGTGTATGTGCATCTATATGCATGATGCATGTATTTAATCATACATTGACATTATGGATAATGGTTCAATCCCATGGATACATGTGTTTTCTCAAATGCCCATATGAGTGCTTACACATGCGAGTATGTTCGGGCTTTAGTACTCAAGAGAGTTTGAATATTGTCTTTCTTTTAAATATTACATGTGCTGCTATCATGGCACAAACACATGTATGTGTCGATAATGTTTTTCTACTTTTCATGTCAATTTAGAGTTATCCATATGGAAATCGGCAAAATTTTATCACGTAGAACGGTTTGCTAAATAGTCCATGTCTTTATAAATGGGCAGAAACCTTTTTAATTATGCAGTTCAATTGAGAGAGAAATAGAAAGATATCCAATTGACATCATGTTTCATACAAGAGCTCATCATATGCATGTGAGTCATACCAATACAAATATCATCAAGATATTACATGTATTATAATGAAAAAATGTATGTACATTTTCATACACAACTCATGTACATGAACCATGACAAGTACATATAGCATAAGATGGAATGATGGGCACATAAAATGGAATGATGGGTTATAAAAATAACGAAAAGTATCGAATGAGACCATTTACTTTTGCTACAAGGTGATCACAATTAATCTTTACCATTGGATGTAAAATTTGGTGCTCACATTTATTCATAATGATCAAGCTCAAAGTTCAAAAGAAATTTTTTTGAATTTTGTGAGACACCCAAGCTATTAGATCTTACATTGGAAGGTTATAAGTAATTGTGACTTCCTTGTACCAAAAGTAAATGGTTTCATTGTATATAATCCCTAGCCATGCTCATATATCTAGAGGGAAAATGCATGTGTTATACACGTTCATCGATAAGTGTGTGCATGTCTCAAGAGAGTGTGCTTTTTTCCTGGTAAGAGAGATTTAGTGTCACATGCGTGTGACATTGTGTATAGCGCATGTGACTTAAGTGAGAAGAACATGGTGTGCTTGCAGTTCTGTGCATGCATGCAGGTTGAGAGAGAGAGAGAGAGAGAGAGAGAGTTACAGGCAGTCAAATAGGCCAATTGAGTCCAATGTTGCCCTACTCCATCCCCTCTTGGGCAGCTGTCCATCCAGGCTCATAGGCCTCCAGGAAAGCAAGCTTCGACTTGTTGGGGAGGTCATGAGGGTGGACAAAGGGCACTCCTGGGGGCCACCCAATCTCCATGCGCACGCTCCCGCAAGGGCTTTCCAAGGCCCGAACATGATCCTCACACTCCTTGAGGCTGCAAAATCTGAGCTTGATGCCCTTCTTGTCTGCAATCTCTTGAACGCGGTCCTTGAGGACCCTCTGAGCCTCAAGCCGGAGCCTCTTGGAAGGGGCCAGAGGCTTGGACCGGGCCACGCCCTTCCTTCTCTTCAGCACCACCTTCAATGAACCTGTGACACGATCAGCCATACCTGCCAATTCAATATAGGACATAAATATGACGCATCTAGAGAGAGAGAGAGAGAGGTACAAGCAATCAAAGCCATATAATCCATCTGATAGAGAGAGAGAGCAATTCCAGTTCCATCCAAACCATGGGGCCCATCTAAATCTGATGTGTTTTATGTTTGTGTGTTTCCGCATGTGTGTGTGAGAGAGAGAGGTCATCATAGTTGCCAATTCAATCCAAACTACCTATCCCCCAAGAAAAAACTCTGGCATGCTGACCTACCCTCTCGGGGTGCCGGAAAGCTATAGCTAGCATACCCATGCCTCCCCACAAGCTGTTCTGGTGGTTGAGCCCTCTGCATAAACTCTTCCACTGTTATTGGTAACTGAAACTGAGCCCCAACACCATGCCCAGCCCTAGTCATAGCTGAGCAATGAAGGATAGCCACTGATTGAGGCATAAGCTTAAAAACCAAAGAGCACCGACCATATAATCCCCCTTGCATATCCCCCAACTCTGTTCTGAGCAAAGCCGGGCTGATATAGCCAGCTGTTGCTTGATAAAGCGCAAGTCCAGGGTACACAACCGCATCCTCAGGCCCCAAATCGCCATCAACTAATAGCCATTGCCCATGAGCATCTCTTATCCTAAGCCCTGCTCTCTCTGACTTCACTATAGTAATCAGGCTCTTGTCTATCTGAGGCTCATGGTCAGAGAACATAACAAACTTGCTATCCTCTTGCCCCACTAGTGTATGGTGCGCGCCCTGAAAGGAGGGCCGTGCATGGCAACAAACCGAAAGAACAGAAGCAGATATTTCGCCACCTCTCAATGGAACATTATCCAATATGTCGGAGAAAGAGAAACTGCGCAAGTCCAAGGAGAAGGTCACTGCATCCAAGAGATCACGAGCAGCCTTGCCCATGATCGAGAAAATGTCAGGTAGACCAGCTGGTGGGAACTCCATAGGGCTCGTGGGCTCAGTGGGTGTGAGCCCGGGTCTATAATCATAGGTTTCGAGCCACAGTTGAGGATCTGTGTAATAGCCTGAAGTCTTGCACCAGCCCCGGGGGTCATTGGAGCGGCGTATATCAGGGGATGTGTACGTTCGTTGGTGGAAGTAGAGGCGTGCAGATTCTAGGGCAGATCTCAAGAGGGCTTCCTCGCCTGGGGGTAGTTGGATTATAGCAGCTGAGTACTGGGCTAAGGATTGTGAAAGGGTTGAGACTGATATTTTGTATGAGTCAGAAGGGAGCCCATCGGATGCTATGAGATCGCTGAGCCTTATGCGTCCAAGAGTTGGTAGACCAGTTCCTGCCATGGCACCCATTCAAGTTGGCCTAGCTCAGAAATGGGCCGATGCCAAGAATATTTTTGAGAATTCTATCTGCAAATATTCAACAAAAAAGATTGCTTTATATTTGTAAGAAACAAAATGACTTTCACAAGAAGTATGGTCGGGATAAAAAACACAAGTACAAGCTTTTGCTTTGGAATTTGGCTAAAGGCAGCCGATCATAACGTGCAACGGATGATGAAAAACAGATGACATGAAGGAAAAATATAGAAGTATGCTATGATCCCATACCATGTTATAATCCATTCTTGTCATCACAGCCAAATGAAATAATGGACAAGATATGAACCCAATGGTGGATCCCACTCCCTCTCACCACCGTCCATCATTTGAATGGATGACAATGACTGGTTGTGGTAGATACTGCAATGGCTAGAAGACATGGGTAGAAATGCCAATTAAACTCATTCTTACATATGATTTTGAACTGTCCAACATGGATATGGCACCCACATTGAAGTATCCATGCATCATAGAATAGTATGCTTTTCCAAAATTTTCATCTTCCATGTCCCAAATACCAAACCCTACACTGTTAAGTCCCTATGTAGGACAATAGGCTAAAATAGTTCTCCAGAAGTCCCAAAGTGCGGATCCAGAAAACATATATGTGGACAAAATAAAGTATCATAACAAAGACTGGCAACTGCATACCTCGGTTGGACTTAATTATTCAATGATTTGTAAAAGAATCCATAAGCATATAATAGAACCCCAAAAAGAAAAAATCCTAATATTCAAGATCTTGAGAAACTAATAAGAAAATAACCCTAGAGAATATATAATTAAGTTACAATTGATATTTTAGCATAATCATACTTCCAAGGAAACATGCAGTACCAAACATATTGCAAGTACAGAACATATTACTTGGAATATCTCCAAAATCTCAAAAAGACAGTCCCTAGGGAAACCCAATCTGGGACCCAACAGCGCATGCTCTTGAGGGAAAAATTAAGACTGGGACAAGCCTAAGGAACATAAGATCACAAAGACCTAGGACAGCTTGCAACATTAATCCAAACCACAAACCAACATGTTCAACAATCACTAAGAACCAAGCTAGTGAAGTAATCATTGTTCATTGCCATAGAACAACACACAATTCCATACTTGTAAGGATGGCTAGTATTATGACATATGCTCATACATGAGCAATTGTATGTGTTTCATTAAACCTAATCAGATGCATATGATATGTAAAATACAGCCATTTATCAATTCAACACATGGATATTCCATAAGAAGCACATTATTAGCATCCCAATGATGTATGGATGAAACCAAGCATACGTACCAAATTGCTTTATTATGAAAATTAAATCAATTACAACCAATATATGCAGAAAGTTTCTTTCAGAAGCCGCAATCACGCCTTAGGATGTGCCATTCTCGGGGTACAGCCAAAGTCACCCAAGAAAGGAATCTCATGAGAAAAGCATGAAGTTTGACGTTAATTTACTTGTCTTCCTGCACAGAGAAAATTTGGTATCAATCCACATAACACAAGAACTTATCTTAACCATAACCATTTTCAACTGCTCCTTTGACGAACACTCTCCATCAAGTGCCCTAATTGGCACACAAGCATTCAACCAAAATCATGAGCAGAATTGCCCAGCTCAATCACAAGGGGCAGGTGCATTTTGCTAACCCATCACTTCTACATGGAAGATCATACGAAACAAAATTTGAACATTTAGCATCATACCAATCAAGTTTGAAAACCCAATTATCAGTTTGCAGAAGCACATTCATGGTGGGAATGTTTTTTTTTTTTTTTTGAATGTCATCATCATCCTAAGAGCCTATTTTTTAATGTGTTAACATGTATTAAAAACCATATACACGTAGAAAAATGGCCCCCCTTGACGGGGCAGGGAATCCACTTTGCATTCCCGGGGTCAGAATCTGATGAACTGTTTGAAAGGGGTGAAGCTACAATATAGAGATTTCCAAGCTCCTGAAGAACGGCCATCTAGAGACGGGAGGGCAGCTAGTCGTAGGGTAGATGCCTATATTTGTGGTGAAGGACAGACTGCCACAGATGGTTGTTTGGGTGGCCAGCCGCCACCACCACTGAAGACTTCGCCAACTATGGTGAAGAGGAAGGGGAAGAGTGGGTCTCCTTGTCAGAGACGTGTAGACGAAGGGAAGAAACTTCTCAGAGTGCCATTTATAAGGACCTAGAAGAAGGGGTTGGTGGTGCAGCCGCTGATCCCCTTACTCCATTGAACCCCAAAGCCCATTTTGACCATGGTCTCGTGAGGATTGCCCAATCTACATGATCATAGGCCTTTTCCTAATCGAGTTTGATTATGAGTCCTAGCACCTAAGAAAGGTACTTAGAATGAATGCTTTCAGGGGCTACAATGGCCTCCTTTACAAAGGCTCCCAGGTGTGGAGAGATGACCCAACCAAGGACTTCTCTAAGTCTAGTGGCTAGAATTCTTGAGAGTATTTTACAAGAATTGTTGATCCGGCTAATCAGCCTCAAGTCCTTAAGGTCTTCCGCTCCTCCTACTTTGAGAGCAATATCGGTAGCATTGGTCACTTTATGGACGATGTCCCTGGAGTGGAATTATTCAAAGAGCAAAATCAGGTCGAAAGGAGTTCTAGAAAGTTTTGAAAATGGCCTTGAGGATTTTTATTTCAGATAAGGCACGTTCCAACCATGGGGCCTTGTCCCAAGGTAAGGAGTGAAAGGAGAGGTCAGCCATGGAGGGCTTGGGCCCAAGGGGGCAGCAAACAGTTGCTGGAAAATTTCTATGATGGCATTCTCCACAGAAGGGGTCTATCCAGGAACAGGTTCCCGACTCTGATTTGGGTGATGGTGTTGTCTCTCTGTCTATAATTAGCTATCTTGTTGAAGAAAGCGGTGTTTTGATCACCACACTTGAGCCATTTTATCCTAGACCTTTGATGCCAGAAGATCTTTTCCTTGCAGAGAATAGATTGGAAGAGGAATTTGAGATTAGTTCTCTATTAGGTCTCGTCGGGGGTTAGAGCCCTTCCCTCCACGACTAGATCCCAGTGGGCTAGAGACAGCAACATAGATTCCTTCTGAGCCCTGAAGTTACACTGCAAAAGACAACTCCAACATTTAAGGGAGGGTTTGAGTAGCTGGAGTTTGCGTTGGAGGAAGAATTCGGCCCAGCCCTGGACCTAATTCAAGAAAGATAACCACCAAGAAGGGATAAGGGCATGGATTTCAGACTCTTCAAGCCAAGCCAGTTCAAAGAACCTAACAGGTTTAGGGCCCCTAGGAGCCGTTTGAGTGTAGAGAAGGATAGGGCGATGGTCCGAGGTGGGTTCACAAAGGGCTGTGGAACGTGTCCCTGGGAAGGAAGCATCCCATTCGAAGCTGGTCAGGTACCGATCGAGCTTCGATATAGAGAGGAGGGTGAGTGGTTTGACCAGGTAAAGTCTGCGCCTTGGAGGGGAATGTCTAAGAGTTTGTCCCTAGAAATGAAATCTGAGAAGTCAAGCATACATTGGGTTACCCTTGAGTTGGGATTCCTTTTGAAGGACCACCAGCCTAGATTAAAGTCACCACCAATGTGCCAGGTTGTGAGAATGAGGGTGGCAGCCTCATCCAATTTGTCCCAGAGTAGGTTCCTGAGGCTTGGGAAATTAGGACCATAAACTGCATTACACTATCAGGGGAGGCCATTAGAGATTCTAGAAAGGGCCACCATGACAGAGTAAGAGACGACCACAGGGGACGAAAGGACGTGAAGAGTGGGGTCCCAAATGCCACCAGAGGCCGCTTGAGCTTCCAGGGCTATCCACTAGCTAGGCCTTCCACCCCAAACTTGATGGATCTGGTGAAGTGTTGGGGGAGGGAGCTTTGTTTCAAGAATAGCAAGGACCAAGGGTTTGTGCTTAAGGCAAAATTCACAAATGACCTTCCGTTTCCAAAGGCTGCTGAGAGCTCTCATGTTCCATGTGAGAAGCTTCATGAAAGGCGAATATTAGGTATTTTTGTTTAATGATTCTGAGATTTTAAGAATTAACTAATATTAGGTAGCCAAAGGAGAATCTGAAATATGAAAATGCCTTGATCAAGAAATTTTCAATACTGAAAAATCAGAAATGTTGGTATCTCTTAACAAATTGCATTAAGAAGTACAAAGTAGATGGTGCTATGGGATTACCTGGATTCTTCTGTCTAGGCTCTGTAGTCTGTACCCATGCACACACATATGTCTACACCAGTTCTAAGACCAATTCTTCCAAATTCTCATGTTTGTTCATGAAGCTAATTATATCTTTTTTCGAAAAAATATCATTAAAATGGTCAAACCACCTCAGACAGTCACTAAGGTGGTTCAATCAGCCAATTTATCAACAAAGTGGTTATTATAAAAATATCATCTCACTCAAGCACCTCATCAACTAATTCGCAAGAAAGTGCCCAAAATGACCGTGATCAGGATTCGGAATCCTGTACAAGTAGAGGTACTTTCGTAATTCTTCCTATGACACGAGTGGAGCCAAATTACCAAAATTCCCAACTTGCTCTTGAGTTCAAACACGAAAACGAAACTCGAGTTTTTTATTGGAAAACACATCTTCCAGGTATGGAACATATAATAAAACGGGGAAGTTCCATCATTTGGCTCAACCCACTTAAGGCAAATAAATAACATAAATAACCTGTGTGTTCTGATTTCCAAATCCGACACAAGAAACTTTAATGAAAAGAGAAGTTCCGGATTTGGAACCTAGAACAAGCATGAGTATTTAGAATGGAATGGAAGTTTCCAAAATGGAAGCTCAAACTCCAACAGATTTCACCAGGTCTGGTTGGACCAGATATGTAGAGCCAAGTCTTCTAGGGTCTAGGATGCTGAAACCTCCAAATTGCCAACACTACCCTCTTGGGGAAACATGGTGGACTGTGGCCACTAATGAGGATCAATTGTGAAGATCAATGATCTCGAATATATATCAAACCAACAGTTTTAGATGGCTCCCAAAAGGTCCGTCTTCCTCAAGGGCTTCAGGTGCATGGAGAGCAATTGGATAGGTTAATTCAATTTTTCAGAAACTGTACTAGATTCTGGGAAGACCTTTGCATTGGAGATCAAACCCTTCAAGTAGCCTTTCCTGCCATCTATAGCACTACTATAAACAGTGAGGCTATGAGCACCAACCACACTTCTTGCATGGCTAAGACTGAGAGTACAGTTTGGACACCTCTCCTGTGTCAATACCTCACTAAGGCTGAAGCTTCCCAGCTTGTCTCTGGTAGTCCAGTCTCCCTTCTTGCTCAGCTCAAGGCATTCTTCTTACCCCTTTCAGGTGCCGATAGAGAGTTTGGATCCCATCCCCTAATGGCTCTTTCTCTGTCTCTTCCTTCTTCAAAATCCTCACAACTTGCAACCCCAATCCAGTGACGGCAAGCAGAGGTTGGCTAGCGTCGGACCTGCCCAAGGTGCAAGCTTTCTCTTGCGTTGCCTTCTTGCACAAAGTTCTATTGGTGGACAATATCAAAAACAAGGCTTCCATGTAGCATATAGATGCGCAATGTGTGGTGCCGAAGAGGAAACAAAACCCTGACTCTTTCTGCTGTGCCCCCAGTCAGCCACGATTTGGGCACATTTCCTAGAAATCTGTGGCCCCTTCTAGATTAGCCCCCCTTCTGTGGAAGACCTTTACAAACAGTACCATTCTCTTCCCCCCCCAGCCTCTGGTAGATTCCTTTGGCGCCTCACCATCTAGGCGATCATTTGGTCCATCTGGCTCGAAAGGAGTTGAAGGATCTTTGAGGGCTCACCTTCTCGCCTATCCACCATTGTCCATCGGATCATCTCAATTGTTATATTTTGGGCTTCCTCAAACAAACTCTTCAGCAGCTTCTTACCTCGGACTTCCTCTCCAAGTGGCCCTCTATCATTTTCTCCACCCCTTCTGCCATTTGCAGATCCTTGGCATGGTTTCCTTTGACGCCTCACCATTTGCAGATCCTCATCATTGGATCCAATTGGCAGAGCAGATGCCGCACTTGTTAAGTCTTTGGCACTTCTTCTTGGTCTATCATTACATGACAGAGACAAAGGGTTCTCATTCCTGTTTAAAAGAGACTACCACAGTGTCATTCAATGGGCCTCTAAAGTTGCCCCATCCCCTTGGAGATTCGACAACATCTTCAAGCAGATTTCTCTCTCTGCAAAGGACTAGTGGTGTCATTTCGACAAACTCAGTTTGAAATGAACTTTGAGGCAGATTCCCTAGCTTTTGCAGGGGCTTCTCTCCCCTCTACCATTATGACAGC